ATTAGGTGCGCCTTGATGAGAAGAATGAACGCCTAAAATTTCAAATGATTTGGATTTGTAGAAAAAAAATGAAAATTCAAATACGAAATGAGATTGTAACCGTCAGATCAACCTAGATTGAATCTGGGCCATTGGCTGACACTATAGCAATCAGCCCGCGGGCTGACAGAATCCACTCCCATAAATATATATATATATATATATACACGCAGTTGCGTACATAGTCATATGTTTCATTAGATCAAGTATTTGGTTTTCTGACATTCCATCAATATTCCAATTTACAATGGATCTCCCTGAGTAAGATACCGAGCTGGTAATCAAATCTTCTTCAAACTAGAGATCTACAGGAGTAGGCCTAGGATAATACATGATAGCAACCACCAGCACCAGCAAGGGAAAGGACAAATGGAAGTAGTCCCTGTATCAAGTAGAGCCCTAATAGCCTCACGTTGAGAAGCTTGGATACTAAGTGGTAATATTTCTGTCCCCGAGCCCCATAATCGGAACCAATTTGTAAACCAATTTGGGAATTCTCCCACTATTGGTATCTTTATTCGTATGAACCAATTATGGGAGTTATTATTATTTTGAAAGGCAAATACTTTATGCCAGGCTTTAATATATTCAAAGTACTGAAAATATTTATTAGTAAATCCTTCTGATTGCATTTTTCTTGGTTTTGAAGGTTCCATTCCCCAGTCCTTATATGAAAGTATTCTTCGTATCTGAAATTTAGAGTAGACTATCATATTTGTATTCTTTTATAGAAGTGGATCAATGTAATTGATCCTGTTTCCAGGAGAATAGCTTCATAATATTCTCTGGTCTTATCCCCATCGTTTGGATGTATATGGTTATTCATATAAATATTTGCTATTTCATATGGATCATTATCTCTATGGATATTTTCTATTACCATAATTGGTATAGAAGAGGTTTCCAGGAACCTACTTTTTTCTTCTATTGATGTTATTGGTACTGGTTCAGGCTAGAATGTTATTTCTTGCGCTTGTTTTTTAATTATTTGATTGGGTGTTATTGGTGAGGTTGAGGCTATTAGAGCTCTACTTGGTACAGGGACTACTTCCATTTTTCCTTTTCCCTTGCTGGAGCTGGTGTTTGCTATCATCTAAATATTTTGTTCAATAATAATACAGCAGATGGTAGCAAGATGATTATAAATTCTATTTCATCATCTTAATTGCCAGGACTATCTTCTGAGTTGGAGGCCAACTCTAGAATTTGTACCCTATTTTTTAATTTTATTAGTTCATCTTTAACTTCATTGATCTCTTGTCTTAATTCAGAGACCGTAGGTGCCTTATGATTATTATTATTTTTGTCTTCAACTGTCTTAAGAATTTTTGCAAAACTATTAACAAAAATATGTAAGTGCTTAAAATGTTGTTCAATGCTTTCAGAGAATATTAAAACATCATCAATATAAATAATCATAAATTTTGTATAAGGGTTGAAAATATCAGTCATAATGTTTTGGAATTCTGAAGGAGCATTTTTAAGACCAAAAGGCATTACGTTCCATTCATATTGCCCAAAAGGGACTTTAAAGGCAGTCTTATATTTTATATCTAGGATTAGATTTTTTTCTTTAGTAAGGGTATTGCAGAAACAATTAGTATCAATATTATCATGCTCTGAGTCTGAGCTACTGAAAATCAGATCTTCGTTTTCTATTTCTCCCATCAGCATTTCTAGTTCAGAACTAGAAGAACTATCAGAAGACATTTATCCTTCTCAGCAATTTGGATCTGCCAATATCCAGATTTTAAATCAAATTTAGAAAAAATACAGGCATTTATCAGTCTATGTAGCAGATCTTTTTTATTATGGGTTAGGATATATATATATATATATATATGTGTGTGTGTGTGTGTGTGTGTGTAAAGTCGTTCATGAGTCAATGGGTGCAAGAGCCCGCTGACTCAACAACGTCCGTCTTGTAAAAACCTCACAAGGATTATACAATGTAGAAATATTTTTCAAAAAAATCATATCGATTTTTTTTTCATGTTCATCTTAACCTAGATCATGAATCCCTAAAATTTTAGATTAAAAATCCATTTTTAAGATGGTTTAATGGGCGTCCCGCATATGTAC